GTTGAGGCGAAGGGTGCTACACGTGTTATCAAGGAGGAAGATAGCGTGACCGCACCGCCCGTCCCTCTTTGAAATGCTGCATCGATGCTTGTAGAGCTCAAGACTTGCTGGTTGCAGCAGGAGATTGGAGAGAAGTTTTCAGGGATGATTTACAAGATGCAGGATCAGGTGGGAAATTTTCAGCAAAAATCCGTAGAGCAACAAACTCTGGGTATTTTTTTGTCGTGGTCCCCCGGCAGTAGTAGTTTAATATGTGCGTAGCGGAAAATCGCTCCGGCTTCACCAATAAAAACCACGGGAGTTTTTCTACGGTTAACCTGGGCCCAACATGGGACTCGAAATTTTTATTAAGTAAGGGGGAAACGTTAATTACCCCCCAGGTTTTCGTTAACAACCCCCCACCCCCTATATATTACCGTAATTTACTCGATGGACGCGTTCCGATTGGTAGAATTGAATATATCACCGGTTTAAGCAGTAATTTGCTACTTCATTTACAAACGATGAAATATTAAATCTAGATAATTGATGCATGTCTATAAGTCGGCGACGTGTGATAATCTACATGTCAGATACTGCGATTATCCTGGATGGACACTGAAATAAAGGCATTCATTAATGCTACATTCGAAATTGAATTTAAGCCAGCTGAAGAGGTCTATCATGAGGTATGTGTGTAGTCGTAATACGTGTACAATTGACTAACTAGGCTAACGTGTAATTTGATGATGGTAGTGGCTTAACCTCGTCCCATCGGCATGCACATCGCGGCTGCTCTCGATCCCACGCAATGTCGACTGACTCTTCATCCAACAGCGCGTCCTGCTCCAGATCAAAAAGATTCGAGTCAAAAGACGAAAAGGGCGAGATGCCAAATAATGAACGGGCTCGTGTGGTGAGGGTGAAGCATATCGATCAAGGTACTGCCGTTGCGGCAGCTTCCGAGATGCTCGCTGATAGCCAAGCTGCTGTTAATGATGGCTAGCTAGTTCGCTCTAGCGCTAGCTCTGTGGAGAAGAGGGACGTTGCAGATACTATGACTGATACGCCGGCGACGAGTGGAGGTGTTACACTAAAGAAGTTCGAGTTCAGCGGTATCTCGATTAAATCTTGCAACTCGACAACGCAGAAGAGTCAAGTAACTACTCAGAAACCTGTAATTTTCTTTTGTAGGTTGGACAAAGGCAGTAACGACTTTTAGCCTGGGGGCAACAATATTGCAACTAAAGAGACACGGTAAAGCTTCGTTAAAGGAAAATGCAACCAAAATAAGAAAAGCGAGCAATCTTCTAACGGAAGAAGTTGCGGTTTGGTAACAGCTGGTATTGTGGCTAGCAGAAGACGAAGATTATGGTGAAACGCTGGAAGAGCGAAAGAGACGAATAGTAGCAGAAGCTCAGGAGAGTGAGCGCGTCCAAAAGATTGTCGAAGAGATGGACCCGCTGGATGCCGCTTTATGGCTGGTCTCGTCGATGCGGTAGCTATAAACAAGTTTATGAGCTCGTTGCACTTCATGTCAGAGAAAATCTAATTTTGTAGGTACCATCAACGGCAACATTTCTCTCACAGATAACAGTAACAGGGAGCAAATAATACAGCAATAAACTATCTCTCTTTCGCTTCACACGTTCAGCTTCCTGAATCAAATTCAAGTTTGGGTCGCTCGTGAGATCGATGTTGACCAATACACGTTGCACCAGTCCATCATTGGCAAACCTTTAGTAAATTAGCGACTTTGTTTCAGCGATGATTGAGGTCTGACTTGCAAAGCGATTCAATGTAATATCAACCCCCCAACATATCCATAGTCCCACGTGCGATCGCTTTCACCCGCTAAATTGTTTTGCACAATTTTCAGCTTCGTATCGCTGAGCATTAGAAATTAAGCTAGTTGATCTGAAGTAGCCACCACAACATACACCCGCAATAGAAAATGAAGTTCGTTTGATGCCGCTAATTGTCCCTTAAAATTGATGCCTTTGACTCGACACTCTGACATAAACAAGTAGCTGTTAAAGTGCTTCAGTACATTAAAAGTCTGCTTCATAAGCTCCCATGGCAAGCCTTAAACCAGATTTAATGGAACTTCGTAACCAACAATCGCGTTTCTTGCATAACCTTCGATCGCTAGCATCATTAATGGCAGATTGAATTTCGTGATTGCCAAATATTCTGCAAATGCAATTAAAATCATGTCGAGTCGTTAAAGAATACACGGTATGGATCTAAGGTAAATCAGCGTTAGCCCTAGGATGTTCTTGGACTTAAACACTTCCGTAATCAGACGACAAAATCCAAATAAAGTCGAAAAACTTGATGAAGGGCGCCAGGTCTTCGCTAACTACCATTTGCCCCTTCTTGCAACTGATAGATTCCACGTGATTTGTCTGGGGCTATTAGTTTACGGCAAGTTCGAAAGATGAGACCTGACTCACTGCAATTGCTCCATTTACGCCTCTTGGGGGGATTTAGCGCAACCTCTGCATGCCCGAAGAGCGATAGATCGCGATCTGTGCTCTCAAAACGACGATTTAGGGCACCAACTGGCCTACCACGACTCTTAGTCCGCTCAGGATCACGCAAGTCATCGGGCAGCACCAGAACATGTTCGACGATCTCTCTTTTTCGGTTTCCGGCGGCATTCGAGTACTCTGTTGACACCTTATTCCATGCTGTTGGCAAGTCGACCACATTGTGTGGATGAACTATCCTGGGCGGCTGCAGCAGCCACCATTGTTAGTTGAAATCATAAAAAGATAGCGATACGCGTCTAGCGGAGAAGTAATGTCGGCAAGGATATCCCATCACCGACATTAACAAGCCTGCAAAATCGTCAAATGAATATGAGCTGCACATTATGTAATATGCTGTGAAATCTTTTATACGTACCTTGGCATTCAATGACGGCTCCGTTGTCATCGACATTATTGTGAAATCGATTTTTGTATTGGCGAAAGGCTGCGCTCAGGCCAGCTTCCGAGATCTTTCCCATGACGTCGATAAATATGCTACCAAATCTCATGTCAAACGTCGCTCGCTCTTTTGCGTGCTGTTGCTTGATACGAGCCAGCTGTCCATCGCAAGCTATCTTTATAGCATTGTTGAAAGACAGTAGATCGCCAGTCGAGGATCCAATCTAGCGCTTCAGGGCATCGTGCGCACTTTCCACGCGAGACGTGGTGACATGTCCATAATGCTGCTTGTTACGGACAAAACAGGTCACAAATTTCTCTTTTCAGCACAGCCAAGTTTCATCGATATATCGAACGACCTGCGGGTGCGATATTCCCCAGCTTTCGCGCATACTTTTCCACTTATCTTTGAAGGTCTCAATCCGATCTTGTGACACCCAGATGTTCCAGTTTTTAAAAAAAGGCCTCCTAGTCATCGATAGTGGTGAAGGACTTCTAGTGTTTGGCCAAAGTGTTCTTCGATATATGCCAGTGGCAAAGCAACCCGTTCACATCCGGGAAGACTATGTCAATCGCGCCCATCAAGGCCAGCTCTCGGTCTGTTATAAATGTCTTAGGAATAATAACCATCTCGCAAAATTCCTGTTGTAGCTTTTGCATCGCCCAGACGTAGTTTGACTCTCGTCCTGCTTGCATAAAGCAGTATGCCAGAGTAAAGGTATAGTCGATGCAGGTAACTCCGACGATATGGAGCAAGGGCAGTCCATACCTGTTGGTCTTGTACGTAGAGTCCATAAGCCATACTACCCCGGCAGTATATTTGGAACAAATCTCCTTGGCCGATGGAGAAACAACAAAAAGGTGTGACAGTTTCTGTCCATCATATTCGCGTGCAGTATAAAATTTGACGCCTGAAGTAACAAGTCCATCAAGCGGTGATTGTAGAGGTGTTCTACTTGTAGCTTTAGAGCGCGATCATTGTTACGGACGTTGTAAATATCTTGGGCGGTGACATTTATGCTGCTTTCATTGCGGAGAGAAGCGACAATAGTACCAGGTTTTACACCAGCACTGGCCAATAAGAGAACTCGCTCGCGAGCCTCTTCGTTCAACGCGCGACCATTTGGATGTGCAGAGGAGTCATCAAATGCATCGTGATTGTGGTTCCCTCTAATGACTGTAACGTGCCAGCGCTCATCTATGCGTTGAGTGACAGCTTCAAAACGGCACCCAGTGCTTCTACTAGCCCTTATGCGCTTGATCGTTCTCGTTTCTGGTACTTCGTTAACAGCAACTGGCTTGCATTTATTTCCCTGCGAACACCATAGAATAACACGTTTAATTGCGCTATCTTTCCGATCACCCACCTTCTTGGTACGCTTGATCGTTAGGACATTGCCTTGAGCTCTTGCATGTTCATTAAGTGCCTTTCGGGCTTCCTCTAGCGTATCGTATGTAGTTTCAGGAGGTGGTAGCTGAGCCATATGAAAATGACAGACTACGGTGTTTAAGCGCTGAAAGAAATTATTCAACAATTGAAAAAAATAGCGTGTAAGCGATTACATGATGCAATTATTGTGTTGGAATTGGCTTTCAGTATTTAGCAATATGACATTTTATTTATAATCAATCAAAAATATGGAAGGTATACATATTAAGGTAATAAAGGGGGTGGGGAGTGGAAAACGAAAACCTGCGGGGTTGTTAACGTTTCCCTAAGTAAGGGCGATTATTAGCTAAGAGAACAATAACATACGAGGACGCTACTGTAAATTCAATTAGGCTAAGTGAATGAAATTAAGGACAAGAGGGAGGAACATACCGATTCTCAATTATTTATTTTTGGTTTGTTCTACCGGTTTTCCATTTTATTTCCACACTTGCGGGATAAGGTTTATTTATTTTCTCGTCTTGTGCTGAACTCTTTTCACTAAACTATTTATAACACTTTTTGTTTCTCATCTTGTGACACACTGGTACTTTTAAATTTCCATATTGTTTGGCATTGGTGGGTGCGAATTGACTGGGTGCATCACAAGCAGCGTGTCCACCACTGTCCGATTTCTCAAGCAAACAAACCGACACGACATGCGCATCCACAACCCCGTAACCACGGCGTTAGTCATTGCGAACATCATCCTCGTCGACGGCGCCGCGCTGGAACTAGGCAATGTATCGCGCTTGAACACGAGTTCGTCTGGTGCAGACATCGAACCGAATTTGCACGAAACACCTGTGGGCAGGTCCGAGATCGACGAGCAGAGTGATGAGGAGAGATCTGGGGTTTTGCAGATGCTAGAACTCTTCGAAGAATGGGCTCCGCGACTAACCGAAATGTTATCTGGACCGCTGCCCAGTTCAGAGACGATCGTCAACCGCTTAGAATCAGATAAGTGGGTTAAGATGTTGAAGAAACTCCGACGATCGTCCACGGAGCACGACGACAAGATAGTCGAGCAAATGACACAAGTGGAAACGATTGAGAACATGGTGGCTATTTTCAATCACCTTCGACAAAAGGGCTTGATAACTCGTGCTACCTGGTTTCAACGAAGGCTTTTCGAGAAGACCAGCGCGAAGGAGCGAGGGGCATTCATACAAGGGTGGTTGCGAGCGGGGATGGTGCCTGAAGATGTGCTGGAGATCGTGGGCTCTTCGAGCAGCGGACGAATTTTGTGGCTTCAATTCTCCAAGTTGTACTGGAAAAAGGTGGGTGCCGATCCTGTTGTAAAAATTTTGGAACAACTGCGCACGACTTACCCGGAGGAGCAGGGCTTGAAGTTTGGATTTTACTTTCAAGAGTTGATGACTTATTCGGACCTGAAGATGCTCGCTGAATCGATGCGAGACCTCCGTTTCGAAGAATTGATAAGTAAGAATTTCAAACCCGATGCGTATTCGCTATTCGTTGGAGATGGCAAAATCGAAGCGAGCAAAATGCCCGTTGGTAGCATCCAAAACCACGCTTACAAAGCCTACTCCAATCAGTTCTATGTCGAAGCTGCAAAACGCAGAAAATTTTACGACGGCGAAGTCCGCCGCCTCATTAGTGACCTCTCAGAGCGACACTACGAAGACGAAGACACCGAACTTTTGAAAATCCTCATGGGTTTGTACAGTGGACGTTGGTTTGACGAGAAAGGACAAGCCAGGCTGCACGAAACCCTAAAACTGCTGCTGAAAGAAAATCGGTGGTTTGACGAGAGCGAAAAACGCTATCTGATCGAGCAGAACGGGAAAATGTTGGAACGGAATAAAAGCCTCGGGGACTTCGGCCGTCACTTCAAGTCAGGGATCTCCACGATCGAGCGTACCCATCCTGACCACCTACTCCTATTTTTGGAGAGCGTGCAGAATCGAATCCTAAAGTCGCCACAAGTGCATGCAGACAATCATTTGTAGGTATGTAACATGCATCTGCAAATAATGTCATCTGTTTGCGATATTGTGTTGATGTTTCGAGGCGTTGACATTCCACAAGGTTTGGCCAAAGGTCATTGACCTTCTCGTTTGCTCATTGATACAGAGGGCGCACGTCGTACGACGACATATCGGCAATAGGTGTTGTGCAGTGAGTACCACTCAACCACACGTAAACTGAGTTGGCCTCTGTTCAGCTCACCCTCTGATTGATAGTCCGATGATCGGATCAACACTTGATACAGCAGTTACTTTGTAAGTCGCCCGAACAGAGGTGCTTCCGTTATGTCGCATGTCGTCGAGGCTATCAACGCATGACACATGTCATCTCTGCCCTCAGAGTGCGCTGGTTTCGGGATGAGCTTCATCAGAAACATCATCGCAGCGCAAATCAGTCGGTCACGATCCGTCTACAGCAGATTGCCTTCACCGTGGCAGCATCAATTGCAGCTTGTTCCCTTGCTGGCAGCGACGAGTCTGCCGTCTAGCTTATCGAGACAGTGATACAATTGCTACGTACGCAACAATATGGTGAGAAAGAAACGGAACAAGTCGATGTCCATAAGTGACTTACTTGTGTGTGCGAATATCATCTATGCGACCCACGTCTTTCCGAATCAATCATCCACTCAGTACGCCAATGACTGTATTTATCCGGTATAAGTCTTGATCGAGATCGATGTTGAACAATTCGGAGTGAAGTACTGATCGCCGGAAAAAGTTGGGAATGAATCGACTTGTGATTTTAAACAGGTTCGTATACCACACGTATCTGCTTCGTCCGGTGATATCACTACAAAGGCACTTCCAGCAGCCACCCACTGGGCCCATGTCGGTGCACTACGAGTTTTTTGCAAGCTTGGGGCGCGGGCCGGGTTTCTTGCGTCGACCGAAGCCATCTGCAGAAAAGTAAAAGTCAAGCGGCGACTTCATTGACACCTCGATCTGAATCGGCGATGCATCCACGGGCCAGGGCGTGAACGAAGTCGCATAGCAACTCAAATAGTTCTCGATCGAGTTCTGTTTGGCGTGGTACAGCGAATCGATGCGGAGCTGCTCTAACTCTGCAGCGTGGATCGCATGCAAGCATGGAAACTGCTGATCTTGCCAAGCCTGACACGTGCACTCCCAATCGGCAAGGTTCACGTGACGCCAACTGTCTGGAGTTTTTGACGGCGTGGGACCCAGGCATCGCACCATGTAGAGTTTGCTTGCGCACGGAATCGACTACAGGCGTTGTTTACACAAACAAAAGTAAGTACCTGTACACATCTACCCAATTATCACTAGACACGCCGTCGTACCTCGCAGCGCTGGCTTCCTTGCAAAATCTGCTGTAGCTGCGCGTCTCGAAGCGGGACAAGTTCGTGCACGGGACGTGCCTTCACGGACTCGCGGCGCTGGTGGAAGATTTCAGCGATCTTCATAAAGTACTGATTGAAGGTATAGAGAGGTTGCGAGCTACAAATGGGATCTTCACCGAACCATGCGATGTGACTAGCGCTTGCGTACTGCGAGAAGAGCTCGTCGCTCCCACATACCGTTGATAGGTCCGACGTAAGCTCGTTAAATGTAGGCCGCCGGAACGCCTCGAGGAACGCGTATTTTACCCAGTGTTTGCGATCGAATTTGTCCAAGTACGCCACAGCTGCTTCGTTCGTGCGAACAAGAGTCTTGCGCATTGCATCGTAGTCCGTTTCACTCTCACTCCGCGCCAGATCGAAGATGCGTTGCTTCTGATCACGAGTCATGGGAATGTTTTTGCCCATCATTAGCTCGTCTTCAACAACACGGCGCATACAATAGTGATGGCTCGCTCGAGGCCACGCGGTTTGAATAGCCGTCTGCAAACCACGGGTACGCCCTGCAATCACCGTGTACTCATTCCAATCAACCGCTTCTGTATCCTGCAGCGCGTGCAAGAACCATTCCCAGTTCAATTGGTTCTCTTCAGTCACAAGCGCAAGTGCAAAAGTGATCACTTTATCATTGAAGTCCTTCGTGGAGGCCTTCAGATAGACCCCGCAAATCATGTCGTCGTTCTCGCCGCTACCAAGTTTCCCCAGTTGCCCCGATAGTATTTTTGGCGGTTTGTGACTGTATGTGACATGATCCAGCGACACGATCTTGCGACAGTACTTTACAGCAGTCAGTGTTGCACTCGAAATGAACAGTGCGCGCGTGAACGTGCCGTCGTCTTTTTGCTCGACGCAATGTTGTGAGCCTGGATTCTTTTGCGCAACAACATTGAAGTACCCGCACAGTTTCTGAAACGATATCCGTACGTTCGTTAGTCTGTCTTCTTGAAACTGTCGCTTGATGCGAGACGACATCATGTTGTTGATAGTATGTCCCTGTCCCAGCAAAATTCGTCGGATCATTTTTCCATCCAACTTGGCCTGCATAACGTCCGATGTCGGGTATTTGTTCACTTCGTCCAGCACCAAGCGACACAGTGTCTTCATCGACATGGTCGTATTCCGTTGCGATTTAATTCGCTCGCTCGGCGAACTAGTCACGCTACCACCTTCACCACCAACACCAATGGCTGTAGCAGAAACACCACATCCAGCTTCAGTTCCGGCTCCAGCTCCTGCAGCCAGTACTTCATGTTTTGTTGATCGCAACAATGGACCATTTCCCTGCTCCTCCTGCTGCTGCTGCTCGCCCACCTGCCTCCCTGCATTCATACTCAACAATACCCCGGAAGGGACTTCTAGTCGATGCTGAGCCGTGTCAGACGTTGCACTTGTAGTCGCTGTGACTTGTATCGGAGACGGCAATACCGGTGGCGCTACTCGCGAGCCAATGAACTTGTAATGATTGTGCAGAAAACAGGCGCGCGTAATCTTCCACTGTTGGTTTTTCCCGTAGCCATTGATATAAAAAGGGCACTGCAGGTCACGGGCCGGTGTTGTCGCGTCGAAAAACTGCTGGCCGTGCAGTTTCTTGCACCGGTATTTGACGTTGCCCCCACCATTCGGTCGCGTGCTACTACTGGATACAACCAGCTGGAAACCGCGCTGCATCGCAAACTCTTTGCACCGTTCTTGCAACGCCCGTTGACTGGTAAAAACGTCGGTACAGCAACCGGTTATTCGGTTGCCGCCCTTTTTATCGTACGCTACGCCAAAGTCGGGCACCAGTGCGTCAGTAGTCACGGGCAAGTCTGGAAGCAGCAGCCCGAGCGCCGTGGCGCTTTGCATGTCCTTCTCATCAAGACGATTGAACGGTGATGCTTGTGGTAGTGCTGATGCAGGAACTGGCACCGTTGGTGCAAGGGCCGTACTTTGGAGCGCGGTCTCGTGCTCGGTCGCAGGTGTTGTCATGGTAATGCAAGTGTTGTCGTATATCAGTACTTGTTGTCATCTACCGGTATATAGAACAAATACCGACGCACCCTCGCCGTGCTTGTATTATAAACTATGAAGTTTTAGCCAAACGACGCAAGACGAATATCGAGATTGAATATCAAAAAAAAGCTTTTCTTTCGACTTTACCTGACCATCAGCATGCAGCGCTCGCCTAATAATAGAGATTTGTGGTAAACACTTTTTCCATCTGTGTTCACTAGCAATCGTCACAAGCTGACGTCTCGTGTGTCAATGGAGTTCCAGCGATATGTCCACGAGGTGCTCCATGTCCACTTTTTATGTTAATGCGCCTGTGGACGTCTCATTGCATCGTTGGCGCCCAGTACCGTGCATATGATGGAGGCTGTAGTGCAGTTAAGCACGAGTCGGGGAGCGATTCTTGTGCGGATTGTTTACTCGGTTTCATCTAGGGCGACTACTCGCACCTCTCCGTGTCGCTCGCTGCCTGTGCGTCCTTGCTGTATCGTGTATGGGAAGGCATTTGTGGCCAATGGATTGTGCACGGAGAAGCAAGAGGAGACTCTTGCTGCAACTGCTGCTGTGCATACTGTTCCTTCGGATGTTAAGGAGGAGGTTGGAGGCGGTGATGATGCCGAAGATCCATCGATGTCGAAGCCGGCCTCATCGTCTCGTGGGATGATGGCACTGTCATCGGCTTGTGCCGGAATGTCCGTACTGATGTATGCACGTCAGGCAGTGCACAAGTTTAAGCCAGGGCAGCAGCTTGTGCAGTCGGAGTGCAACAGTACCGATTGTAGAAGGAGAGATATAGTGGCGAAGAAGCTGTGATGACCGAGAAAGTGGCACATCAAATGCGAATGCCACGAATGAAGAAGTAACAGGCACAGCATGTGACAAGATGATTGTGACAGCATGTCACGAGATGATTGTGACTACTTGGCGTTACGACAGTCAATGTAGGGTTTGTGGAATAACGAATGAGTTGAAACCAAGTCCACTTGTGTGTGTTGACGCTCTCCAGCAAAGAGAAGACTACTTGACCGTCACAACAGCACGATGACTGATGACGTGTGAGTTGGATGCAACCACCGATTCTTACCATGTGGGGTCGGTCTTGTTGGAAGTGGAGCTGTCATAGTGGACACTCCCTTTGTGTCAACGCCAGCTGCCAGGTTTGGCGGTTGTAGTGGATGATTTGTGTGGTTACGCTAGCTCTAGAAGGCTCTTAGTTTAGTTAGTGCAGGATAAAGAAATATGTCAATTGTAGACTAGATAATCCACTGACGAGGCCCCCGGCGGGGGTCGTACCGCGTCTGGTGCGCGTATGAATACAGAAGTTTTTTACCATGCTTTCTTTCTTTCCAGCGGGTTATAAGCCCAATAGCTCGACTCAGCCATCTCATCAAGTGTAAAGGGGTTAGCCTGTTACATGTAGTAAACCCTTGATACTTGTTCATTGGAATATTAGCATAAAGGTTGATAATGCTCGTGAATATTACCATCAGGAGTATTCATCAAAATCACTCACCCATCGGCTGATGTGGGTCAACATTTCAGCCAGATATAGCGTTCCAAATAACGACGGAAGCGCGCAATGAGTGGTGAGCAAGAGTGTAGCATACATTTTTGTAGATAAACATGATTAAGTCAGGACACAAACATAGGTACCTGTATTGAGGACTTAATTATATTTAACACAGTTTGCTTTTACCACTAGTCAGTGCTAGTTACTTTACCTTCCTCTGCATACTTAACTAGGTAGCGAGGCACCACTTGCACTGATGTCAGTGAGAGTAGCTCCACATTGGTGGTCTAGTGTGTTGCTCCGGTGCCCCGTGACACTTGGTAGCACTTTGTAGTCCATCTGATGGCCACAAAACCCGCTCAACATGAGCATATCTGACGATGAAGGCAATTACACCTTTCACAACACCCGTGAAAGCTACTCCTGTATGAGTGATGTCGAATCGAGTGCGATATAACGAACGATTTCGACCGTTGGCGAAGAAGCTGTCTGGTCTCTGCTTTCCAAAACGGATAGTGACCAACAGCATTCCGCAATCGCCAAGTTCTTGCAACGAGAACTTGAAGCATCGTGAGCTGAAGTGACCCAGCTGCATCAGAAAGGTCACCAGCATTTTGAGCTTCGGGGACAGCAATAGTCTCAGTCTGCTTCTGCACCGTCGACGCGTAAGCCTCGACACGAGACTATAAAGTAAGAGGTCTATAAGTACCGGGGAGTTGAGGAAGACTCTCTATTGAGATAATTTCTCGACTTGGACGATGCCATTGAGGCTCGTCACCTCGACAATGAGAAAACATAAGTTGCGGTTGCCAAATCAAATTGTCATAGCGTGCCAGAACTTGGGCCCTTAGTCTTCAATTACGCGATTCAAATGTGTTTGGATCGTTGGTGGACTTAAAGACTTTGCCAAGCCAAACGTTTGAGCTGCCAAGAGCTGAGTTCAGGACTCTTTTAAATCTCCAAAAGATGAAACAGGTAAGCGTGACGTTCACGCTTACTCTCAGCACGCGCGTTGCCTTTCAAGTTGCATGGTGGCCAACCCTGTAAGTGAACTCGTGCCGATCACGACATCCTTACAGGGTCTTACAGATGTTCCCGTGTAAAACCAACTGTTCCGCATCGAGTTGAAGTTGCCTGAGGAAGCGTTACAACTGCGGTGAAAGAGGACTTTATCGTGACTTAGGTTTACACAAGCTTGACCCTTTATCGTCCTTCGAGACACGTAGAGGCGGGAGGTCCAGAACCAATGGACCTGTACAGTGCTGAGAGCTAGATACTCCTCTCTTTAGATAGTAAGCAATTGGATAAGTGCTATCGCTGTCAGAAGTCAGGGTACTACACCTACGAATGTAGTGCCTCACGCCCAGCGTCTCGAAACACTGCGCGAAGCGTTTTACCGTCTGCCAAGAAGGGCAAAGGACGCGGGTCTGACCCTACCTGCGAAGCCGAAACAGCGTGGCGGACCATCAAAAACGGTCGGGATTGGTATGAACGGAGCGCCCTACTGTTTCGTCAACCTCAATGGAATTTGTAAATCTCTTGATACAAGTTGCTTTTGACCCAAAATTCTTGAGTGTCTTTGTTCTTGTTAATGAGGTACCCATCATCACCTTAAAGTCATAAGAGACAGGAGAATTGCTGTTTCGTACCGTGGTTGACTGTGAAGCGTCGAACATCTTTGTTCGTCGCTAGTCGCTAGAAGATAGTAGGTTCAATTTTGTTCAGCTCGATACCCCTTCGAAGAGGATGACGGTTTGCCTAGCAACATGTGAATTTATAAAGTCGATAAAACGTGTAGTGGGACTTCACTTCACCACACGCCAGAACATTTGCATTAAGAAGATGATACTATCGCAATCGATTCGGATGACAAATTTGATGTCACCCTAGTTTTGCCTTGGCTCAGAAAGTACGAAGCAAGATTCATCTGGCAGCACCCACCGTGAAAATGCCTGACACTCGTTTATTAGATGACCATCTGATGAACGTCTTGGAGCGTCCACAAGCGTGTGGGTGTGCTGCGAGTGAGTGCGAAGGCCTCAATTGCGGTACGTTCGTTAGTACAACTGCACAAGATCGAATGAGGACAACCAATCACATTGTCGAAGGAGCTGCGGGCGGCTGTGCGGGTGCGCAGGCAGCGCCGAAGGTCCACCACTCTTAGAAGTCGTCTAGTGGATCAGAACATGTGTACGCCTAGCGGAAGATATTCAAGGAAAAGTAAACCGGTCGCCCACATTGGGCAACACGATGATCCTGATCGGCTGGAGAGTATATCGTAGAGGACTTAGCTGTGGTAGCGCAACCCCAGCTAGAAGACTTTGTTCCAGTAAATCATCGCGTACCGGAGGAAGCAGCTCCTCAAGCAGTTATTGGTGAGGTAACTAGACCTCATCAATCTGTGAAAATAAGTCCCTAGTAGCTTTTGGAAAAGGGTCTCCAGGAATAAACGGATACATTTAATTTCTTGGCTAATGACGGACCAAGTGTAGGCGCTTACACACTAGATCTTAATGCGCCCCCTCAGTTGACTTCGGTGATCACTCAGCTGCCATTGCTATAACCGAAACGGTTCTTGCGAAATCTGCATAGTGTCAAGTTTAAGCATATCTGTATTCTTGTCACGGGGGTTAAGTACGTGACCGAAATTCGGTCGGCAGTAGTATTTGCCGAGAACAAACAGGATCTTAGCATCTGATTGATGGACGAAAGTGTCCCCGATGAAAAGACTCAGATCAAGAGATGTGCTTATTCTTCTTAGGAGTCGCTTCAGGTAAATTCTTGATTTATGAATTTGATCAAAACCAAGGACGTGCTCCTTGAATTCCAACGATGCGGGTTGCCTAAGGATAGTACCATTCGACATGAAATGGAGCCTGAACCGGGCTCGAAGTACTGTGTCATGAAGCAGTGGATACTGCCTCGTGAACGAGTACTTGCGATCGACAAGTTTATAACGATTACTTAGCTGCTCGCCAGTCGAGCGATTTAACTTCCCCATACAGCTCTCAAACCATATTGTGCGTAAGACCACACGAGTATGGCGAATTGTGCACGCATTTAACAATTTCAATGCTGCACCGGTACCGGCTCAGACGCCGATACCGAGGAAGGACGTAACTATTGATGGTACGTCAAAGTTTACAATCTTTTTCCCATGGATCTGATGGATGGATTCTATCATATTATTGTGCATAAACGGGATACCCCATACCCGGTAGTAATCACCCCGAGCGGTATGCTCTGAAAAAGGAAAACTAATTCCACAAGGGCTTGGCAACTCCCCTGATACATTCAACAGATATGTTACAAATCTGCTGAGACCGAAGAGGGACTTTTCATCGAGTACTTCAACGATTTATTCGTCCATAGCCTGGATATGGGAGGAAAGACGGACGTAAAGGTTCAAAGAACACACGTTCGTTAGGTTCTTACACTTATGTGCAAGCTTAAGCTATATGCCAATCTCAAGGAGTGTACATTCGATGCTAGATATACATCACTTGTGGGTTTACACAGCGTACGACCTGATCTAAAAAAGATCAAGGCGACTCATAACTGACCTGTGCCATTCAACTTCAAGGAACTTAGAAAGCTCTTAGGCCGAGCGGCGCAATTACACAAGTACTTGCGCAACCACGCCGAGATGACCTCTCACGTTTCTAATTTTTTTTGAAAAAGATGAGAAGTGGTCATAAGACACTAGTGATTGTCAGTGTTTCCTAGTAGGTGCCAAGCAGAGCTTGACGCAATTGCCCATCTTTACAATTTTAGACCACACCATACCAATCTATGTGGTCTGTGACGCCAGCGATGTAGCAATTAACTGCGTGTTGATGCAGTACGATGCAGGCGACGAAGGGATCGTCGTCTGCAATCAGTCACGGTATCTGCAAGCAGCTGAGCGTAATTACAAGGTGCATGACAAGGAACTCCTTGCCATGAAGTATGCACTAGCAAGGTTCAGCGTCTATATACTTAAAAAAAGGCCTTTCGTAGTCTATATGACCATGGTCCATTACAAACGGCCGTAAACAGTCAACACCTCTAGTAAAGGATGGCGGGGTGTCTCTCCGACTTCGCGGAATACAAATTTTCCGTGGTGTACAAACCCGGGCGACCTCATGTCGTCGCGGAGGCTTTATTGTGCCGACCCGACTTCGAGACGGCTGCAAAGTCCAACAGTGGGGTTGACATTACTGTTGCAACGCTGGTCACTACTTTTCCATCATCAAAATTGCTCGACGACATCAAAAAGGCATACGCAGAAGATAAAGATCGTCTGCGACTAATGTATCATCTA